GTTGAAGATCCTCCCCACTTCCTCTTTTCCATTTGTTTTCCTTCATCGCTTCTATTTTTGTTCATCTCTGTGACTTCAGCTGCATCGGCTGCCAATGGAAAAGTGGTAGGGTTTATCGCTATAACAAATTCTCTAATTGAGGGTTTCAAACCCCAGATATATCTCTCAACTTTTCTAGCTTCTGTGGATATGTAAAGCTCAGCAAATCTAGAATACTCTATGAATTTTTCTGTGTATTCTCTAACTGATCCAGAGCTTTGTTCCAACTTCAAGAAATCCTCTTCCATTTGTCTAACTGCAGCCTTGGGACAAAATTGTTCTTTGAATCTATTCACAAATTCTGCCCATGACAAGGTTTGCAAAACATCCATCCTTCCAAGAGATTCTATTTCCCACCAATACAAAGCATTAGACTTTAGAACTGATAAAGCAAACCTGACTATGTCGGCTTCTGGACAACGTATGGTATTGAATACTGATTCAATATCTTTTATCCAACACATAGCTTTAGTTGGATCTCGCTCACCTGAAAAGCTAGTGGTTTGCATGCCAGAAACATTTTAATATCCCCTCCTCTTGTGCTTGGTGTTCGTATGGAAGACTTTATCTCTACTCGCTCTGTTTCCACCCTCGAAGGCATTCTCAATATTGATGTTAAGGTTTCTCTTAACTTTCCCATTTCTTCAGCCAACATATCTCTAGTTACAAATTCTGGCTGTGGTGTTGGTTCTGGATTGTTATTCCCAGAGTTAGATTCTGCTTGATTAACATAACCTTGTGATTGATAATTTATTTCCCTCGTTTGATTTCTCCCTCTTCCTCTTCCTCTTCCTCTTCCTCGTGAGGTATTAATAGGGGCTTCAATGGGAGAATTTTCTGCCTTACTAAGATCAAGATGGGCTAGTCTTGGTGATCTTCTGGACCGACTTGTCATCTGTAGATTTCATGATTAAATAACACATTTCACATTCCCAAATACAATAAAGTGTCCAAGTTCAGATATGTACCTGTAGATTCAAAATTACATTGGCTAGATGTAATCCGAATGTACCTTACACACTAATCTCTTAACTTATCATATTTATTTCAAAGGTTCTAACTATGTCCCGGACCCTAATATGCAATAGAATAGTTTAAGTCTAGGCATCATCATGCAATTGATCACCTAAATCCCTTAAACTTAGGCTCTGATACCAATCTATGACACCCCAGTCTTCACACATTGCATATTACATAGAATTCATTCATAGAATACATAGATTCCCACATAGGTCCAAAATTACAAGAGTCTGTGCTACATGTTTATGATACAAATTGCATAACTTAAGAATTCCAAAATACATGCATTTGTAAACTAGTATTGCTCTCCTCTAAAACACATCTAGATATGGTCTTCAACATTTAAGCACATAAGGGGAGTAATCATATAATGCTTTTTCCCTTATTGATATTATAATTGGTATTACCTGCACATATATTTTAAAACATAAAATGAGGGTTAGACAAAAGTCCAGTGAGATTCCCTTTTTCATGCTATGCAGGGTGAGATCACCAAAACATTTACGAAAAATCTCTCAACATAATGAAGAATAATAAAAGAATCACGTCCTGTTTAGGTCCATCAGGCCTCTTGTTCAAAATCCCATACTTAGAAAAATAATGGTTTTCCAGTCCATCGGTCTCTGGTTCCATAGGGTCTATCGGGCCTCCGGTTCCAAAGTGTCCATCGGGCCTCTGGTTCCAAAGTGTCCATCGGGCCTCTTGTTCCAAATACACTTTAACAAATATTATGATTTAGAGAACCAGAGCTCCTATGAAGGACCAGAGCCTCTTTCTTAAATAACAAATCCCATGAAAACTCATTGATCAATTCTAATAATAAACATAACCTTTCCAAGAAGTTAAATCATATTTTAGAATGTCATGAAGGACCAGAGCCTCTGGTTCTTCTAACCAGAGCTTTTGGTTGTACCTATGAAAGCCAACTAGAGCCCCTCTGGTTTGTTTTATATAAATTTCTAAGTATAAAGACTCTTTTGAAATATCATTTTAAAACTATAAATATAGCACTAAGCTTGTTTCTAAAAGATATAAAGCTTATTTTCAAACTAATAATTTATAAAAGATTTTGCATCATTTTTAAATCAATATCCAGAATCATCTGATTCTATTATGAGGGTCAATCAGAGCCCCTCTGGTTCCTTGCAAGATATAACCAGAGCTCCTCTGTTTTCTCATAATCAATTGCTTTTATCCAAAGCATATTACTCACAACCAACGGTCATGAACCAAGTTTGCTCCAATCCCATAACATCATTATTATCATTTCTACTAAAAACAACATTTCCAAATTCTCAAATCACCAAGAAATGAGAACTTAAATCTGTTGTAACTTTAATAAATATCATAATAAGAGTTAGGCCATGCAGACAATGACCAATCTTATATCCTCCCAATAATCCCCTTTTTATGATGTTCCACCCTTATATCCTCCCATTAATTCATATGAAGTAGTTCATCCAAAGACAGACCTCAGTCATATATGTCAGAGTGAACCTGTTCATAATTCCCAAACCAAATCATGGTTTCAACATAGGTTTATACTCAACCTTTTTGTACATTAAGAACAATATGTTCTTCCAAAACAGTTTCAAACACTGTTTTTCAGACAAAATTTCATACAAACTGGTTTAAACCCAGTTACTGTTTGAATCCTTCAAAAACAGTTTCAAACCTTCAAACTCACAATCTTTATGTTTAAAACATCTAGAAAACAGCTTTTCACCAAGCTCTTTCTATACCCAAATCATTAAAACTTAACAGTTCACTATTCATAAATATAGAAGTTTTGGGTAATAGACTCACAATTATAATCAAAGAATAATTTAAAACTCACAATTTATATGAGCAATTTAAACCTCACCTTTGTTTTAAACAGTTTTTGCAGACACAGATCAAACAACAAGTTCTTTTTGCTAAACAAAATCTTCTCACGCATTTGAAATAACAGATTCTTTTCAAGAATCTCACACAAGTTCTTTCTAAAATGATAGAGATAAGGATAGCCTTATCTTTATCTTTCTTTTTATATCCCACTCAGGCGGTGGAAGGATTTTATTTATAAGATATTAACTAGGCGGTGGCACTATTATTATAATAAAATCAATGCTTAAGGGTGAAGATACCTTATTCCAAATAAAATAATACCTCATGCATGTGCAGTACCACCACATATAGAATATTCACATATATATATATATATATATATATTTATATCATATTATGCATTTTATCACATATGTATACTATTCAAGAAATTAATCAATTAATATGCATGCCATTTTGTAATTTACCACATAATCACGTATAATTTACCTTGACCCAGATTGTCTGAAACCAGGTTATAACAAAAATACCCCTTAATGACTAAAAGGTAATAATTGTTAGAAGGAGGAATCAATTCTAAGTGTTTTTGTAAATCATGATGACTAAGCCATAATTTTTAAACTGTAATTGAGGATGAAAACCAAGAAAAACAAAAAATTACATGGACAAAAAATGTTACTCTAAAATCAATTGATACAAAATACATTGAGTTGGACTACTTTCCTTCTTACTATCTCTTATACCGTGCCAAGAAAAATGACATAGAGCAAAGTTTGATGTTGAAGGTATACAGTTCGATAAACCAGTATTGAAGTAAGATATTCAATGAAAAGCCTCAATATAAATACTATTATCAACTTATTAAATAAATCAGTGCATAACTTGATTTTTTTGGACTTTTTTCAAAAGAAGTAAGATATGTGGAATCACAATGTAGGTTTGATATTATTTGTAATTCTTTTTGATAAACTTCAAGTAGAATTCGAATATTTATCTAAAACTTATGATTAGTTGAATGAAATTTGTACGGTTTGTAATTTGCAAATTAAACCTACTATATATATATGTATATATATTATCTAATCAGATAATGATATTAACAAATGTACATTCATATTAGTAAAAAAAATCATATAGATTATCATTATAGAAATAGGTTTTTGATTAAATATTAAAAATAAAACTTAGAAAGTTGATTTTAAATATTCAGGCCCGGTACTCCCATTAATATTATCGGTTTGGTTAATGCCAAAAGAACTTCCACATATTTTTCATCAGATTGCAAATTGAAAATTTACCAAGCTTATCCAGTAATATCAGCTCGATTCAAACGCTAAAAACTAGAAGTTTCTAACCTATAATTGATCATTATCATCATGCTTGAGCATAAAGTGCAGTCGTGCTAGAAAAACCAAAACTTCTTATTTACAAAATTACATTACCCTCGACCGCGCTTGATTACAAAGTGCAGTTATGCTCAAATGTTTTTCAGAGATTTCTACAAATCTTTGTTTTGTATTGCGATTTTCAATAGTTTTTAGTTGTTTCGATAAAGCGATTGTTAAAACAATTCGAAGGAGCATAATTGATATGGGTGAGAGGGGAGTGATTGGTTTGAATTGAGAGGTAGCTAGCTTTTCTATGAAGATTTCTAGAAGGGGTGTTCATGAAAGAATCATATCGATCATGTCAAGGTCAGGTCCTCGAAAATAAATACACCGGACCAACAATATTACGACTAGTTACCTTGTAGTAAATTAATTTTGATTACTTAAAATAAGAAAGAAATGAAAGTTTAAGCTTGCTTTGTGATTAGTTTTACAGTCGATTACGATAGTAATTTAGTAACAGAAATCAGACCTAATTTAGTATGATTACTATGGTAATTTAGTAACAAAAATCAGACCTAATTTAGTGAAAAGTTTTTTTTATTTTTTATAAATTGATGGGTCATACGGTTGGTAATGTGTACATATGGTAAGTAATTAGAATACGAGATAATTAATGTACACTATCCAAAAACAAATTCTAGCAAAAACCATATAGTTTGTTGAGAGTCGTCAATCTTTTTCCTAGTTTGAAGACGAAACTCAATTGAAGAGATAAACTACAATGACACAAAAACCGGAAATGACTGAATATATATAGGGAAAAACACCATAAAGAAGAACGAATCACGATTCATCGTAGATCTATATTTGCCCTCTCAAAGGAAAGAGAAATCCTCGCTTCACATCTTTAAACAACATTTGAATGACAAATCATATTTTCACAGTATGTTGCATACGTATTATTTCAAGTATAATGCGAACATCATGGCACATAAGGGCCAGAAAACACCATGAATCATATGTAGTATTGCTCAAGGTTACTTTTGCCTTTAAGTTCCCTTGAAAAGAAGTTGTTGTTGTAATCTGCAACACTTATTCTTGTAAATCTTGGTCGTGTTTCTGACGTGATTAGGCTTGGTGCTGGTCCCATATCCCCATCCAAGTTAGGGCCTAAAAATGTGGCTATAGAAAGCCTCTCTTTCTCTGAGTTCACGACTGCTCTATGTTCAACACTTTTGTATATTCCGTTTGTCACAATCTGAAAATGAGTAACTACAAAATTTTAGTATTATGTACTAGATCTAAAATTACGTTAGTAATTTATTTCAGTGCAATAAGCAAGTGATATCATCACCTTTAAGGGCTTCTTTTTCTTACCATGAAAGCTTGTGTTTATGGGGCACGTCTCACGATTTTGTTTTAAAATGTTCATTTAGTCAAAACCAAGCTCAATTTTCATTACATCATGTAATGGAACAAATAATTAGTTTACCTAACAATCACATTAATAAATGAATATGTTGACTATTGATCGTGGAACATTATAATAAAATTAGGTTTATATGACGTAAAAATGGCTAAATATCCATATTAATTGCTTAGAAGACTTAACTTTGTTGGATCAAACGATAAAACTTAACATTCTATCTAAAAGTGTTACAAGAAGTCAATACGAAGGTTTTAAACATCTTAACAAGCTTTTATTAGGGGATTTAGGTTCCATATAAGTTACAGATCTCAAATGAATTGTCACTACAACAAAATTAAGTTTATAGAACACCCCCAATCTCTAAGCATCCTAATACACCGCTTTATAAGATTTAATTTATAGGACCAAAATATAAGGCGTCATATCTAAAGGCGTTGTAATAAGTTTATATGACGCTTTTGGGCGTCTTAACAAGTTTTTTAGGACATTTTTAATACCAACTGTCACATTAGCAACTTTATAGGACACTTTTCAGAAAATGTCCTATAAACTTAATTTTTTGTAGGACATTTGTTTTTATATAACAGTTTTTCAAATAGTGTCCTATATAAAATTGTTAACGGGACAATTTATATTAAAAGTGTCCTAAAAACTTATTATGACGTCAAAAAACGTCATATAAACTTATTACAACACCTTTAGATACGACGCTTTATTTTTTTGGTCCTATAAACTAAGTCTTATAAAGAGATCTATTAGAACGCTTAGAAATTTGGAGTGTCCTATAAACCCGATTTTGTTGTAGTGTGTCTTATTCGAAAAAGACCTTTTTTCTTTTTCTTTGGAAGATTTATCTCGTGTCTTTTATAAGACACTCGTCTTAATTTTGACGTCTTATAAACCGAGTTTTGTTGTATTAAAACAACTAGAAGTAAAATTCCAATGAAGAACACAAGGATTTTTGAGAAGGAAATGACCTCTAAGGTGTCCCCAAGATTGACTATAAACGCATTTGGTAGTGGTTTAACTTGCATCCAAGCTCCATCTTTTTTTATTTGGAGACCTTCTACATCATTGATTTGGAGGAGGAAAGTGATTCCATGACAATCTGAGTGAGGGGTCAGACCCATAACCTGTTCAGGTTGTGGGCATGGTGGATAATAGTTCATCCTTACGGATTGTATTCCTTCTTCAAACAGAGCTTTCATGTCTTCCACCTCCATCCTTAAACATTTTGCCATGAAGTTGAGGGTTTTTAAGGATATGTTCTTAACTTCTCTCGAGTATTCTTCCAAGGTATCTCTGTGTTAAAAACAACATGTAAGCACACGTAAATTGATTACTTTAACCCATGAACGATAGTTGAAACTTTCAATGAAACGTGAAAGTTGAAAGGAACACCGGAATGGTGGTTCTAGTTATAATCAGAAACTTAAGACATCGCTACAAATTCTAACCGGTTAGTATATAAAATGTCTAAATGTTCTAATAGCCTTGAGTTTATAAACGTAGTTTATACGTAGTTGGTTTTTGGACGTTTGAACAAGTTTTTACTACACTTAAAATAAAGCATTGTAGTATTAAGTTTTTTCATATGATACTCTTTCAAAATAGTCAATACGGCACATCATTTTTATCTTTTAAAATGTCTTAAAGCTTGTTTATAAACTCGATTTGGCACTTGTGTTTGACAACCAAGAATTTGCATTTACAAAGAGATATAGAAATAGAGAAAGAAGGGAGAGTAAGTGACCTTAATGGAAGAGGTAGGGTTGGAAACAAATTAGGGTTCCTGATATGATGAGGAAGCGTAATCAAGAAAAAAGTGTCAGACCAATCAAGTTTTTGCTCCTCTGACACCACAAAAGCTTGTCCAAATCCCTGTATATCTCCAGCCTCTTGCCAATACTTCTTTTTCTCAGCCATTGGCAACTTGAAGAGTTCTTGTGTTTCTTCCTTCACTTTCTCCAACAATGAACAACTCACCCCATGATTTATCATCTGTAGCATATATATAGCTAGTGTTAATACTACAAATCAAATGTTTCTGGGTTGTATTTTGTGAATCAAACACATCTTGCAACATATTGATTGATATGATCATTTGTTAAGTTAGTACCTGGAAGAAACCCCAATCTTTACAAGCAAAGTGTAGCTTTTCCAATTCATGATCACTTGAATCTTTGGACGCTAATCGTTGCATATCGATGATGGGTACTGCAGACACAGAAGATGCGACTGAAAAGCCGTGATGGTGGCGAACGTATCGGGTTGGTACCTTTACAAGCGGTTCCTTGGCGAGTTCTTGTACACTAGGCACCAAGAGGGAACCCCCTAAAGTTTTTGCCTTTGCTTCCATGATATTTCTCTCTGTCTATGTATATCATATATAGAGGATATGTATGTATGTATTTATGAATAGACCCATTTCTATTAATGTTCTCTGATTGAAGTGCCCCACATACACACAAGTAGGTTAAATGGTTCTTCACGTTTCTTTATTTTAGAATGCACGCTACTAGAAAACTGATTTTTCTCGAAGAAAATATGCCGGAAAAATTAGTGGCGATTTCCGTTGACTTCCATCAGAAATCCACCGCTAATTATTTGGGAAAAAAATAATTTATATTCCAGCGTTATTTCCAGCGGATTTTTGGCAAATCATACAAATTAAATATTTGGGAAATTATTAACTCTCATTACAATAAATTATCGGTGGATTTTTGATTAATTTTTTAAGATTAACGTCCGCCGGTAATCATCCGGAAAATAATTAAGATTAAAATTTATTATTTTAAGTTGCCGGAGAATTACCGGCGCCGGTAATTTGCCGGAAGTTTAAAATAATAAATTCTTCAATATTTTTAAAAAAATATCACTGTTTTCTTGCGGATATTTGAAAATTTGTTTTTTTTCCTTTTTCATATTTTAGGTTTTATATATATGTAAAATATTACATATATTTCACATAGTATGTGTAGTGGATAATAATTCTTTTCTCGAGTCCAACACACATACACATACATGTATGCAATACATACCTATATGCAAATACATAATTCAATGTCATTGTTATTGTTGGACTTAGATAACTATTAAAAAAACTTTATTTGGTTTTAACGGGTCTTAGTTGAGCCTAATATACACCACATGCTCATATGCAGTATATGTCTTCTCACAAACACGTATTGGGCTTTAATGGATCTTATTGTGTTTTTAATGGATCTATTGGGTTTTAATGATTCTTATTGAGTTTTTAATGGATCTATTGGGCTTTATTTGGTCGTATTAGGCTTTAATCGATGTTAGTTGGACTTTAATGGATCTATTAGGCTTTATTTGGTCGTATTAGGCTTTAATGGATGTTAGTTGAACTTTAATGGTTCTATTGAGCTTTAATGGTTTTTATTAAGTTTTTACTTGATCTATTGGGCTTTAATGTATCTATTGGATTTGTTTGGTCATAGTGGATTGTTATGGATTTATTGGGTTTTATTTGATCCTATTGGGCTTCAATTGATCTATTGGGCTTCAACGGTTATATTGGGGTATAAAAGATCTATTAGGATTTAATGGATACATTGGGTTTTTGTTTGGTCGTATTGGTCTTTAATTGGTCGCATTAGGCTTTAATGAATGTTAGTTGAGCTTTAACGGTTCTATTGGGTTTTAATGGTTCTTATTGAATTTTTATTGAATCTATTGGGATTTATTTGGTCATATTGGGTTTTAATTGATCCATTGGGCTTTACTTGGTCGTATTAAGCTTTAATGGATGTTAGTTGAGCTTTAACGGTTCTATCGGATTTTAATAGTTCTTATTGAGTTTTTACTGGATCTACTGGGCTTTATTTGGTCGTATTGAGCTTTAATTGATCTATTGGGCTTTTATTGATCTATTAGGCTTTAATTGGTCGTATTAGACTTTTTAAAAATAATAATAATAGTAAAAGTAAAAGTAAAAATAAAAATAAAAATAGTAATAATAATTTTAATAATATAATAATAATAAGAGTAATAAAAATAATAAAAATAATAATAAAAGTAATAATAAAAAATAATAATAATAGCATTAATAATACTAATAAAACCGGCCGGATTATCGGCAGAAATTTTCTGCCGGAAAATGAAATTTTTAGATTTTTCATGAAAAACCAATTTATTTTTAAATTTTCAAGTTGTTTAGTCAATTTCAACAGTTCTCGCCGGCATAGTAATGAATATCTATTTGCTTTGCAACAATTTAGTTTTTGTTTGAAACAATTGTGTGCTAATTTGGTTGAGATAATTGTATTTGACATTTCTTGTTAATTATATATGATGTTTAGCGACATTTCATCTTTTTAGCATATTTTTTTAATATTTACAGTATTTACAGGTTTTAAATTCAGGTTTTACAGGTTTTAAATATTTACATAAAACTTATTTTATGGAGCTAGGTGATTTTCCGGCAGATTACCGACGGATAAATCCACCGAAAATATTTAAAAAAAATTAAATTAAATTTATGAGACATCACTGGCGGATTTCAGATGGACCGCTTCTGCCGGTAATTTAATTCAATTTTTTTAATCTTATTAACAATTGCTTGATTCAATTAAGATTTATAAATTAACTCAAAAAAGAAAAGTGGCTAATTTTCGGAGACCGCATGAAAACCAAGAATCCATTGGAAAAAAAATCATCGATGCTTCATTTTCCGACGACCAAATCCATCGGAAACTCTATTTTCCGGCAGATTTAGTGGTCAATTTGCTAGTGGCACCAAAATGGTCATAAAAAGTTAACTTGAGATTCTATGCAGTCCATGTTTGTGAATCAATATTCTGTTAATGAAAAATTATTTGCATTTTGAATCCTTGTTTGTTAATATATTATGATAAATTGTATTAAAATCAAACATATTTTGATGAACAACCAACTTTAAAACTTCACATTTTGGAATATATCAAACGTATTTTGTTTTGATTCTATATTTTAAAAACAAAATTCAGTAACTTAATCATTTAAATGAGAAGTTCTAAAGTTGATTTACTAAAATACAGGTTCTGAATATTGGTTCCTTATAATAGAAATAAAAATCAAAGGTTGTTCCGTTTGTATGCAATTTATTGAATTCTCAATCATATAAACTCCGCTGATCGGCCTATTCTTAAAAAAATAGATTTTCAAAAGAAATTCCTCATAAGAAAAAATAAATTTCTTAATTAACTAGTTAAATTGACGTAATTCACTGTCAAAAAATCGGGTTTACTAATAGTATACTTTATAGGACTTACCTTTATAATATCAAACTATAAAACGTCCGATCTAAAAGTTATAGGACGTTTTTAGAAATTTAAACAAGTTTTTTACAACGTTTAAAAAAAGGTGAAGTATTAGCTATTTTTAAGACATTAAATGAAAAAGTGTCCTGTAAAAAGATGAGTTTATAGGACATATCTCAAAAGTGTCCTATAAAATAGCTAATATGACAACTTAATTTTAAAACGTCCTAAAAAACTTGTTAAATGTTTAAAAGTGTTTTATTAACCTTTTATAACACTTTTATATAGGACAATTTATAATTTGGTCATATATACTTAAGTCTTATAAAATATGTTATTAGAACACTTAAACTTTTTAAGTATTCTATAAACTTAATTTTATTGTAGTAATTATTAGTTGGTAATCGTGTGATATGGCAAAAAGATTTTTATGATGGAAATATTTAATTTACATGTCACATATTTTGTCAAAGCCCATATGCAAATGTATGGTTGGGTCATAAATACATTAATGGAGGGATGGGGTTGAAGGTGACCAAGGCAACATTATCTATTATTTAATTTCCATATTCATGATTGTATTTGTATCTACCAATTTTGATCTTTCATTGAAAAGCAATAACTAATGAGATAGAGATTTAGAGTTCCCCAAAGGCAATATTTATTATAGATGCATACTTTATTTTTAGCTTTAAAAAGTCTTTGTTTGCACTTATTACGAAATTAAAATGTAATCATGTTCTGTCCAATCAAAGTTAGTATCATCTTGTCGAGTTCACATAGTAAAGGCAACCTCGATACAAGAGACCATAATGTTGAAGTCATTCACTTGTTGGTTGATGATGTTCAGATCCCTGAAGACAAAGAGATAGGCAGCGTTTCCTGCAACTTGGGTTGCGGTTTAAGTCACATAAGTAGTTGTTTGATTGTTGCTGACCTCATGTAACTTGTCCTCTTGCGTGGAACCAACAGAACTCAATGGAGTATACGTGCGAGCCTTACTCGATCCTAGGCGCGTAAGTGGGTCATGGTGCTTGCCTTGTTCAACAAAGAATGGGCATGCGCAACTTGGCATGTGACTCAAGTCCTAGTCGGTCCTAGGTATAAAGTCAAGAAAATACTTGGGGGCTTATTAGCTTTCTTCCTTTAAAAAGGTTTCATTTCTATACTTTCTTTCCATATATAGAAATATAAAGAAGGCTTTGGTTTCGTTGATTTGCTTGATCCAATGATCATTGTAACACGTTCAAAATCCTCCCCATCAATAACAAAATTGATCACACACACACACACTCTATCTCTCTCTCTCTCTCTCCCCCTGTGGACATACACTATCACCGAAATAGCAGAACCACGTTAAATCTCAATGTCTCGATTGTTGTGTCATTTAGTATTTGAGTGTACATTACATGGTTACTTCTTCATTTATGTTTATGGATCAACATGCTTGACTAGATCGTCGTTTGCAACATTTGGATCTTGTTTATCCGTATTTATGATTGAGTTAGTTTGTATTTAGGTATCTTGATTATGTATGGGACCATGAAACCTTGTGGTTGTTGTTGGAATTTAGAGTATACCCCTATAATCAGTATTAGAGCTTTATATCTAAGTTTCTTATCGTCATGTATTGCTATTGCACGTTAGTTGGTCACTTAATATGCTTGGCATGGTGAGGAAGAAAAACTCTTTCATCAACCCGAGGGCTATCAGAAAGGAACTTATAATTTGGTCGGCTTGGTATATTTATTAAAATATGGAATGGGGATGGTGACTTTGGTAAATGGCATTTTATAACCTCAAAGTAGGGGTGCTCAAAAATAAAAACCCGATCAACCGACTCAACGCTAAATAACCAAACCCAAAGCAATCCGATGTCTAATCGAGTTGTAAAATCTTGAACTAGTAAGTATTTGATTGGAATTGGGTTACAATCATTTGAACCCAACCCAACCCAACCTTCAGATAGTCCAGATTTGGTTTTCTTCCTTTCCAGAGCTTATATGGACTGGTTGGAATCACATGACTAGTGATTCGGTTGTGAATATGACAAGCCATCAATAGGGCTTCTCCCCAGAGATTGTTAGGCAACCCTGATTGGTTCAACATACAGTT